TGTGTGTGTGTGTGTGTGTTTATGTAAGAGATTGAGGGAACAAACACAGACCTTGCTAAGGATGTAGATGACATCTCCTCTCTGGAAGGCCAACTCATCGGGTCCATCAGCTTCACAGTCCCACAAGCATTGGTAATAATTTGCATAATCTGAAGTCCCTTTATTTAAAACACAGAGATAAAAAAAATATCAACATTTGTAGTCAATTTTTAGCATCTCTCTATCAATGCACACAATCTACTTACCAGACTTTTCAGTCCACTCTTCCGCATTGTCAGTATATTCATCATCTGAAAAATACAGAGGGTCAGAGGTTATAGAAATACAGAACAAGTACATACGTTAATCTTTTGGCATCAGTCTACAGCAGCTAATAATGCTACACCTTCCATGCAAATTCAACTTCTGGATCAACTTTGTGTACCTCTGAACTCTTTCATAAGTATATTAAACAATCTGTGTGGTGCTGGCAGAACAGCAGCTCGTGTTTGATTTACAGGGGAGGTGCCAGGCCGGGTTAGATGGCTAGTGTGTTTCAGGCAGACAGGCATTGATTCTGGGCGTGGCACCTCTAGGTCTATGAGGTGACAGTGATAGCCCAGCCTTCCGTCTCCCACATCCATCCTCACGCTGTCAGCCTGCTGATAAAACCACCGTCCAGCAACCCTATACTTCCCACAGCACAAGCTTGCCCTGAGCTTCCAGGAACAGCATGGGGAAAAAAACCCGTAAAGCTAAAGTAGCCCTTTACTATATGCGCAAGTGTGAAATATACATCTAAAACCTGTGTTGGAATCTGTTGCACGAGGCTTAATTGGAAAAAAATTAGATTTCAAAATTAGCATAGTCAAAATGTAAAATGATGAGTGAATTCTGAATCTCAAAATATTTCTTCAATGTCATCATATGTCTCTTCCTCTTCTTCCACCTCCTCTTCCTCATCATCATCAAAGGGGATGAAGTTAGAGCTCAGATCTTGGAGAAAAGCCATAAACAATCATTAACACCTAAATAATGAAAATGACAGCAGACAAATAAGACCAATTCCCTGTGTGAATCTCATTCTGATTATGTTAACCAATCTACATGTAGTGGTGTCCCAAAAGTCTGAGACCACTAGTGAAAATGCTTCTATTTTAATAAAAAATACAGTAATATTGTGAAATATTATTATATTTTCCTACAGTATCACGTCACTCTCCAAATATTGGAGAGAAGCCATAAAAGCAAACATTAACACCAAAATAATTCAAATCACAGTAGACAAATAATATCTACACTTCCCAAAAGTCTGAGGCCACCAGTGACTATTTTGCAATTTCCTAATTTAATGCTTTTTATTACAAATTACATTACCTGCATAATTTAATTTGAGTGAAAAGCTGTAATAATAACATGAATTTCATATCTTCATAATCTTTTCTTCTTGGTTTGTCATTTTGCTTTAAAGGGGTCATATGATGCGATTTAAATTTTTCCTTTCTCTTTGGAGTGTTACAAGCTCTTGGTGCATAAAGAAGATCTGTAAAGTTGCAAAGACTAAA